GCTGATTATATTTCCATGCACTCAACGACCAAACACCGCTGGGCATTCATGAGAAGTTATACGAACGGCGGCCACCCATTAAATCATTAGTTCTGCGGTTTCCCAATGTTGCTAGTTGTTAATTGGAGACACACAACTCCCTCATGTGGTCTCCCATTTGGTATTTTATCCGTTTCACGAACAATATATCCTAATCCTGTTCATGGAACCGGCATACGAATGCCCATAGTCTTTACAGGGGAAATTAGATGAATAGACCCAGTCTTTTAGATAATGAAGTGGCTAATTTTGCCACAATGCTCCCCCAGAACCACAAGCCGGCATACACAGTGTGATCCCAACGGATCGGCTTGGGGATGTCCAGAGGAGAGTACCCACAGAACACTTTTCAAGTTCAATTTGTCTGGATAACCCGTCGGCATGGCCATTTTGCTTTCCAGGGCAGTAGTGGATGGTAAAGTCAAAGGGCTGCAACGCTAAACTCCAGCAAAGCAGCCTGGCATTGTCTCCGGATACCCTGTTTAGCCACACCAACGGGTTGTGATCTGTGAGTAAGGAAAAGGGTTGTCCATATAGATACGGCTGCAGCTTTTTAAGGGCCCACACCACGGCCAGGCATTCTTTTTCGATGGCGGTATAGCTTACTTCTCTGGGTAGGAGTTTTCTGCTTAGGTAAGCCACTGGATGCTCACCGCCATCTGCTCCAACTTGGCTCAGCACTGCTCCCAATCCAAACATAGAAGCGCCTGTGTGGACAAGAAATCCTTTAGTTGGATCAGGAGCAGCGAGTACAGATGCATTAATCAGAGAGGTTTTCAATTGTTGGAATGCCTGTTCACACTCTGGGGCCTAGACTACTAGCTTAGGGAAGTTCTTACGGGTCAAATCTGTGAGGGGCTTGACTAGGGTGCTGTAATTGGGTACAAATTTTCGGTAGTACCCGGCGGTACCCAGGAAGGCTAGGACTTGGGGGTTGGCCATTTGGCTACGGCCTCTATCTTTGCGGGCTCAGGTTTTTGCTGGCCGCTTCCTACTCTGTGGCCCAGGTATTGGACCTCAGCCATCCCTATATGGCACTTGCTGGGTTTAAGGGTTAACCCTGCCTCCCTGAGTACGGCTTCTATGTGGGTTAGGTGTTCAGTCCAGGAGTGACTGAAAATAGCTATGTCGTCTAAATAGGCGCAAGCGTACTCCTGGAACCCGTCCAATAACCAATCCACCATCCGCTGAAAGGTAGCTGGGGTGTCTTTCATCCCGAATGGCATGACCTTAAACTGGTACAAGCCAAACAGGGTGACAAATGCCGACTTGGGGATGGCTTCCTCACCTAAGGGAATCTGCCAGTACCCCTTACAAAGATCTATTGTAGTGAGGTACTGGCCCCTGGCCATTTTATCCAGGAGCTCGTCTATCCGGGGCATAGAGTAAGCGTCAGATACGGTTTTGTCATTGAGCCTCCTGCAGTCTAAGCAGAAGCGGGTTGTCCCATCCCGCTTTGGCACCAGTACTACTGGGGAGGCCCAGGGGCTGTCAGAGTGTTCTATCTCCTCAATCCCCTTGTGCATATTCTCCTTTACGGATTCTGGTATGCGGTAAGGGGGCTTGACCAGGGGTTTCTACCCTTTGGGTAGCTAAGGGGGTGTATCCGGGGAGATTAGAGAACGTGGCCCTCTTATCCTTAATTAAATTTTGTGCTTGTGCCCATTCCTGGGGACTCTCCTAACTGTACCTCTCCCAGGCCCTCATTCTGGTCTCCTTTCTCTAGGAGGTCTGGGAGGGGTAAGTTATCAAAGTCCTCTGTGACAGAGGCGCAAATGGCAGCTACATTTCCTACGCACTCGTAGTATGGCTTCAGCATATGTGTCTGCCACCTGCTCCAGCGCATGGGCATATCACAAAGGTGGTATCCCACATTTGTTCTACCACCTTGTTTGGGCCCTGCCAGGAGGCCTGCAGCTTGTCATTGTGGACCGGCCTTAGGAATAGCACCTTCTGCCCTATCTGAAAGCTGCGGTCCCTGGCCCCCCAATCATACCATTTGCGCTGTCGTTGTTGGGCGGTTGGTACATACGTCTGAGTCAATTCCTCCAGGCGCTCCCGAAACTCTAGCATGTATGGGACAATAGGGGTACCATTGGTGTTCATCTCTCCCTCCCAATGTTCTCTGATTAGGTCTAAAGGACCTTCTCTTGAACAGTAGTTCAAAGGGGGAGAACCCGAGAAGCTTTCCCAGTCCTTTTTGGTGTCTACAAATGTACGGATCATCTGTTCAGAGTTCCGTTGAAACGTTGGCAGAAAACGTTGGACTGGCGGTGATAGGCTGAATTTAAGATGGGTTTTACCCCGCATACCTTCCAGAGTTGGTGGGTGACCTCTGCAGTGAATTGTGTGCCCCTATCCAATATGATCTCCCAGGGATATCCCATGTGGGAGAAAATTTGCATCAGGGCATCTGCTTGGTCTCGGCGTGAACATTGGTCAGCGTCACCACCTCAGGATACCTAGTGGCATAATCCACTATGGTTAAGATGTACTTCTTGTCAGAGGGACTGGGTTTGGCTAAGGGTCCTATGAGATCTACAGCCACTCTGCTAAATGGTTCCTCAATGATTGGGAGGGGGTGTAGCTTCGCTTTATAGTGGTCTCCTCGCTTTTCTACCCTCTGGCAGGTATCACAGGTTTGGCAATATTGCTTAATATCCTTTGAGATACCTGGCCAGAAGAAGTTCTGGGATAGTTGATGTTTGGTTCAGCTGACCCCTAGATGGCCTGACAGTGGTATGTCATGGGCTATGCGCAGCAAATCCTGCCTATAATTTTGGGGTACTATCAACTGTTTAGTGGGCATCAAAATAGACCCAGCTACTATTTTTTCTACGTAGCGGTATAACAGGCCTTTGTCCCAGGCATATCTCTCTCCCTCTAACCCGGCCTGGCTGTTTGCTATCCTGTTCTTATACACCTGTATCTAGGGCTACCTCATTGCCAAATTCTAAGGGGGCATCCCAGGGAAGGGCATCTGGAGAAGGGGGTAGGTTGCTTACCTGCTGTTGGGTGACGACTGGGTATGCTTCCTGTACTGTGGATTGGGAACAAAGGCTGAAGTG